GGGAGGGAGGGAGGGAGGGAGGGAGAGGTCTCACTTGACTTGACGCTCTACCAGCACCCGCACCCCCTCGCGGGCCTGGAGGAAATTGGTGATGTCCGCCACCCTCTGAAGGATGTCGTGGGAGCCGCGTTTCATGAGGAGGAGGACGTTTCGAGGGCTCTCTTGCCAACGGAGGAGGGTCTGATGGAGGGGGGAGATGGGGAGGGAAAGCGTCATTTTATGAGCATGCCCGTACGAGAGGGAATTAATTAATGCCTTATGGGCTAGTGGGAAGAAAGGAAGAAAGGGGAAGAAGCTACGAGTTTTAGAAATGCATCGAGAAAATTGAGGGTGGTAAAAGTATGAAAGGGGAAGCAGGGAGGGAGAGAGGGAGGGAGGAGGGGAGGGAAGGATGATACCTGTTCTGGCAAGCCCTTTTTTGCCCCTCCTAGGATCTGTCCGTCTTCTATCACATCCACACTCGTCACCGACTGCCAGCGTCTGCGGAAGGAAGGAAGGGAGGGGGAAAGAAAGGCGGAAGGGAGGGAAAGAGGGAGGAAGGGGAAAGGCAGGAAAGTGAGAGGGAGGGACCGCAGATGAAGAGGACAGAGGAAGAATCGACGATAGGGTTCAGGAGACGTTCAGCTTCTTATCATAAATACATCACCTCCATAGAAATCGTCCTTTCCGTATCCTAAATGTATCCCTTCTTCCTTTCCATCTCCCTCTCTCCCTCCTTCCCTTCCTCCCTCTTTCCCTCCCTTCCTCCTATCCTCCCCCTCTCCCTATCCCCGTTCCTCACTTGTGCAGCTCAAAGCGCGCGCGGCGTGGGTGCGGTTCCGTCCCTGCCACTACTGTCACTTCCCGCCTCATCATCACCCTTTCTTCCTCCTCTATGATGTAGTAATGCCCGCCCTCCCCCGCTGCCTCCTTCTCCTCCACCCCTTCCTCCTCCTCTGCCGTGAAAGGCGGCCAGGGTCGGGGGTAGGCTGGTCGCTTCTCCCGCTCCGGCTGAAAATCGTCGTCGGGCAGCGCGTTTGAAATAGGCGGGATGAAGGGTCTTTGGACCCTGGTGTACATTAGGCGAAAAGGAGCGGCGAGGCGGGGAAGAGGGGGGGCACGCCAGGCTGAGGGGGGTCTGGGGGAGGGGGGAAAGGGAGGAGACAGCGTCAGCCGGAAAGTATTGCTTCGATATTTCGAAACTTTGTGCCGAGAGATACAAAAATCTTGTTCTGGTGACGTTGATAGCTGTTCAAACATGCGTTGATGATTTTGAGGGATAAATATTGAAGTCAAAGAATGCGTTGATGATTTTGAGGGATAAATATTGAAGTCAATTTTACATGGTAACCTTTCCTTCGGCGAAAAAGTGTTCTGGAGAACTTGCTGATAAGTCAACAATATCATATAACATTTATCACGAACCGGAAAGGCGTTCAGAAGGATGAGTACCAAAAATATGGCTGAAATTTGGAAGTTCCGTGTGCCCTGCAGTAGACGGCTTGGACTTAGCAAATGGTGAGAAGAGCATGAAGTGGAAGAGCCGGAGGCATTAGAAGGAGGAAAGGAGCGCCAAATCATATGAAAAGGTGCTGAGGAGGAAGAAGGAGAGGAGGAGGATGTCGGGGGATCGGAAATGGAGGGGAAGGAGGAAGTTGTAGAGGAGGCGGTGGATGAGGAAGGGGTTAGAGACGAAGCATGGCTTGAAGGTCGCTCCTGCATGGCCTGTACCACCACCCCTCTTCGTGCTTTCTCAACAGCACTTAGAAGGTCTCCCTCTCGCGCTTTGACCACTCCCCTGCCGTCTGGGGAGGTATTGATAAGCAAGTGATAAGGAGATGCACGAGGGAATATGAGTACGTACGTCTGATATCTACTGAAGGAAAGATAAAAGTCGTCGATTTCATCCCCTGTCGGCACATGACGATGACTGGAACGATATTTGTACCAATATTTCCTTTTTCATTAAGGCTACTGCGCATTCTATCACGTGCCAGCAGGCTGCGCAACAAAGTAAAAGGGGACTGCAAGGGGGGGCAGAAATCTTTCCTTTGTGACGTTAGGGTTGATTGCCCCCGGTCACAACGCAGGGGTTTTATAGAGCTTTTTATACAACGGCTCGAACTTCGTTTTTACAGCGTCAAAGCTTCCGCTATATTCCATATATGTATCGAGAATAACAGCTTAGCAACATTGTTGCCCGTTCAGAGGCAAAAATGAATTTGAGGCACCAAATGAGCAGGTACAGACACACCGTTTCGACACAAGGATTGAGGCTTCCAACTACGCGCCGCAACGATTTGATTTTGTGGGATTCTTTGCGTACAGACTCCAAGCGCCCACCTTAAAATGCGTCGACTTTATTTTTCTTCTTTCGCTTCAGCTTCTGTCTCGGTATTCAGCACCAAGATGTAAACCTCGAGGAAGGGAGGTTGGCCTTCGAAATATGCATCTCTGCACTCTACTGCTTTTAATTCCACTGAAGTACGTAGATGCTTAAAGGTCTTTAATACTATATCTACCAAGTAAGTCAAGCGATTCCGACACGAGCCAGCGTGAGCGCAATACATTTCCGCCTCCAGTGTCCCCCAACGAAGGTCCTCGATATTTCGCTCGTTCAAAAATAATTATCCTTAGGCGACATGTCTCGTTCGACTTACATGGCATCGAAACTTCAGCTATACCGTAAATATGAGAGCCCTAGCACACGTAGTCAACTACCGAGCCTTCTTCGAAACTAGAACTCTGCAACCTCTGAAGATGGGCAGCCCGGTACAGGGATCCTAGCAATGTTTTTGGTCTATGACCTTCAACTTATGCATGATCAATTAGAATTTCTGTCCCATTGCCAGGGTGTTATAACGAGGATGAAGCTTCAGACATTTAAGAATGTTGCGGTGACATTGATGTCCCAAGAGACAATCCACGGCGTGTAAATTCCAGTCCCATTTGGATTTAAAATCGCATTTGGGAGCCGAAATGTATTTCCAAGAACTATTCCTTTACGAAAGTGATCAAGGCTACGATGTGAATGACGTGAAAGAGTCAATAGGCGATGACAATTATTATGGAAGTGCGTAAAAATATGTTGCCTGAAGTGATGCGATCTCGACATGCCAAATGGTGCCATCACTAACAGATGGTCCATTTTCACCCAATTACATAGATAGAAAGGATTAAAAGATTGTAACTTGTTTGCTGTTCTTCAATTTGTCATTTATCTAAGAGATCTTACAGCCACGTCATGGCAAGGTTTCAGCAGTGTTTGGGAACTTGAAGCGGATTTAGCGACTCCGAGAGTGCCTCATCGAAAAAATGTACAAAGGTCGCAGAAAGGTGATCAAGTAGGAGATCATTACTGTGTGCGATGCCTCATTATCTGCACAATTCAAACCACACTCACCTTTTTAGTAAGTTCTGTGGGAGGGGGTGCGTCAACGACTCTCAACGGCTTTTCAAACTGCCTCAACTTCAAGGAAAGGAACGTATTCGAGCTGCTAACCGAGCGACACCTGCCTGTAGTCTGCGGTACGAATCCGATCCTTTGATAAAATCGTGTATTCCAACAACCAATCAGAGAGTATCGACGAATAGGTCCAGCAGAGGCACGTTTGTTTTTCTCACTACTTCCAATCGGGTGTTGTGCACACTTTCTTCCTCGAGCGATAGTTTAGGTATTGCAAAAGTTTTAGGCTGTGCAATGGCATCATTTGTAAAGGCTGCCATGTAGATTTGTATTTGACGAGGCTCATCAATGTATCGATGTTGCAAGCTTCTGAACTCTGTCCTACTTTAAGACGAGCATTTTCGAGCCTTGCAATGAGCACCACCTCAACATCTCACATATCAATGCCAGGTCAAAAGCTACACAAATAAACAGAATCCTTTCAAAGAAAATCCTCATGCGCTGCACATTGGCTTTATCTGGTCTTTTGGCCACCACAAGTTTTGTCACCATCTCCTCGGCCGCTGATGTTATCGCAAATGCTGACAAGGCGGCGTACAAAACAATGGCCACGCATAAGGCTTCTGTCAAGAGCTACGACGCGCACGAACCTGTGCAAATCCAACACGTCGAGAAGTATTCTGAGCACTATGAGCCTCGCTCTGAGTACCATAATTCGCATTACGAGCCGCACCGTGAGTACCACACACATGAACATGAAAAGCCGTACACCAAGATGGCCGGTGGTGAAGGGGAAATGGACTGGTATTTAGGTAGCCAAGACGAGTCAATGCATGGTTTTTTGGACGGTAATTGGCTTCATGATGGGAAATGGGATATGAAGAAGGACGATAAGGGATATAAAAAGGATGATTACGGCTACTATGAGGAGAAGTATGACAACAAGAAATCGTACTACGGAGGCAAGGATGTAAAGAAGGGTGACTACGGCTACTATGATGACGAGTATGACAACAAGAAATCGTACTACAATGACAAGTGGGATAAGAACGATGGATATGGCTACTATGATGAGAAATATGATGGTAAGAACGCGTACTACGGAAATAAGGGCATGGAAAAGGAAGGGTATGGCTACTATGATAACAAGTATGATAATGGGAAATCGTACTACGGCGACAAATGGAGCAAAGAAGATAGCTATGACCGCTACGATGGGAAATATGACAGCAAGGACTATGCCAGTAAAAACATAAAGAAGCACGACCACGGCTATGAAGGCAAAGAGTACGATGGAAAGTACGAGAAGGAGGCATACCACGGAGGTTACGAAAGCGGATTTAGTGAGGCGAAGAAGGACATTTACAAGCCCCACCTTCGCAAGGGATATGAGTAAGTTTTAGTATGGGCTCCCGCGCAAAGAAAGGGCAGGAAATCTCAAAAGAGAGCTAGCATGAACAATATGAGATAGTAGAGCAAATGCACGAATTAAAATAACATGATAAATTCGGCTATCGAAACAGCGAGAAAAATGGCTTCCTAGAAACAGAAATAGCAAAAAGGCTAGTGATACTTAGTAAAATGACCGCAAAGACAGAATGTAATACATATAAATTAAAAACCAAGGGCCTTTAAAAAACGCGCATGTGGATCCCAGTGCGAGTCACTTATGGTTATGAGACGCTTGGACACATACACTGGAGCGTTTATACGTTTTGAAACTCAGCCTTACCACTACGCTTTTATTGTATACCTTTGACGGGAGCACGGCATCCAGGTAACATATTAATCTGAGTACATTTCGCAGCAGTCCATCGCATAAGTATGCATTAGTTGTGAATCAATGTACATTTTTATGGCTTAACTACGTCATATGATAATTTCAGCAATTAATTCTTCAATATTTTGTTAAGGATGGACCGGCAGCATGAGCTCTTTTTTTATCTGGCTGTCTTATTTTCCTCATTTCCTCTCGTCCTTTAACGCGTCTAAAGCGATTGAGAATCTACGAAAGACTCCAGTTTTGGTGTATCCTTTTTCGTCACTATATTCAAATCTGCTCGTCGATTATATCGCATGTAGCTAAAATTAGAAAGTTGATAGTCCGGGAGTAGGAACTGGGATTGAATCAAGTGAGAAATTCCGAGAGAGCGATTCCAATTCTTTCTCCCTTCTTCAACAGAAATCAAATATGCCGCGGACACCCACGTGCAATAATGGCTTCCCACGATGTCTTTCTCAGAGTCACACGTACGGTAAGGATATCTCTTATTACTCAAAGTTTTCAAAGAAGTGAGGGAAAACGTGATTTCACACGCCTCCGTCCGCCGAGCTGTCAACGTAGCGCACGCGTATCAAGCAGTACGAAATCGAGCCATTAAACCTCCCCAACATTGGAAGCCCCAAAAAATAGCCAATCAGGACGCACCGACGTGCAGCTCTGATAAGTAATCTTTCCTTTATCACTAGTTTCTTAACTTCCTCATTTATCGTCTTGAGGCATTTTGGGGGCGTTATATTGCGAGCAGATACAGACGCACGTACAAATAGGAACGTAAATCGAAGTAATTGTTGAAGTAGAACCCGACTCAATAATACAAGTAGCGTGCAGCAAATTATTTAGGAAGAGATTTGAAAAATGCATACACTGCTGCCTCCCATGTATTAATTCAGACGAAATCGTTTCTTCATAAGCCTCTAATGAGCTCACTATTTTATTTCCTTCAGATTACGATACCACCCTAAACCGAATAAATATACAGAAATGATGCGGTGTGCATTCTCTTTATCACTTGTTTTAAGCGTTGCGAATGTCGTAGTGTGGTCCTCAGCCACAGAGGTGGCTTCCGTAGGAGTTACTGCACATGCCGCAAACCAGACTGAAGTGGATTTGCAGAAGCTTCAAGCTCAAAACCTCAACAACTCTATTGTGCCCGCAATTTTGCCGTCCTCAAAATTTTTACCGACCTCCCATAATATGGAATCCAAAAGTGAAGAGGATCCTCTTCAAGTCGTGAAAATCGAAGAGGTGGTTGCAGGAAATACAACGAACGGAGAAGTTGTTTCGAGTATGAGTGGTCACGATTCTTATGATGTTGCGCACGTAAAGAGTTACAAAGACATCCAAGACCACTACGGCGAGATAAAGCATGGCTATTCTCAAAACAAGGAGTACGGCTACGATGACAAGCACGTTAAGGACTACGGGAAGCGTGACAGCAAGTATGGCAAGATGGAGCACAAGCACCACATGAAGGACCACGAGTACGGCTACTTCGATGACAAGCACGTTAAGGACTACGGGAAGCATGACAGCAAGTATGGCAAGATGGAGCACAAGCACCACATGAAGGACCACGAGTACGGCTACTTCGATGACAAGCACGTTAAGGACTACGGGAA